GTAGTACACTTCATAAAAGTTGTTAGAGTATGTATGCAATATCAGTTTAGGTAAAGTGGATTGGATTAATGCAACTGGTTAGTTTGGATGGTGAGATGGAATTTTTTATTATATTTTTGGATGACGTGGATCGTTGAATTGACGAGTTTGATGAAATTTTGGATAGAGATGTACATAAATTATTATTGTTTCACGTCCAAACTCGTGTTAACAAACCGTGCAAAAATAAATTTGTTGACACTATTTTGAACAAATTCAAAAGATTTGTGACCATTTATGCTAATTACCCGAGATCCCCCCAATTATGATCCAACTATGAAGATACAACTGTCTCTAGCTATACATAGGTCACGCATTTTTCCCCAAGCGATAGGTTCTCTAGAAAGTCAAGACTTATGTGGTTGTCTCCATCATTCACATTACTCTAGTGGAACGCAAGCACACCAATATTGCTTCATCCTTTGGGTCTATTGTGCCTCACTTTGTCGCTTAATGCAACAATGTAATTTCAGTACACTATGCCCTCTTCCAAATTGATTTATCTGCTAGATATGTTAATGTTATACTGATTAAAATTGCATACTCATTGATTTTGGGTTACTCTTTCAATGGATGGGTGGTTCGGGATAGATTGTAATTTTATACCCCTTTCCTTGTGTTGTTTGACTTGTTTTGCACCGTCTATGGAGCCATTTTACGCTAGATTTGGTCTTGTTTTGGCATGAATCCGACCTTAGTAGGTAGAATGGGCAAAAGGACCGAAAGTCAGACAAAAGAGATAGAAAAGGGAGCAAATTGGAGAAAAGTGCAAGGATCACGGACTGACAGCAATTGTCACGGGCAGCAACCGTGATTTTGACGCAGAAACCGTGAAGATCACGAAGTTCCAGGGGATTTTGTACCACTCGCGGGCACTGCAAGGATCACGGTCCCGGATCTAAAGTCGGCAGAGAACCCGTGAAGTGTGTTAATAAAACGACGCATTTTGCTCTAAGATCACGGTTTCGTTGCACACTTCAAGGCGTTGATGTGCAACCGTTAAACATGCACTCTCAGGCTATATATAGAAGAGAGAGAGCATATTTCTGGAAGAGAGTTCTAGAGAGGGAGTTGAGAGTTCTTCTTCAAACCTAGAGAGCTACGAACAAGGAAGAATGGAAGGTTAATTTGACCTACCCAAGGCATTTGAAAGGCAAATTTCATCTCCAAGCATCCATCCAAGCAAGTCACAGGGGTTTTCTTCTATTCTAGCTGTTATTTCCTCTCTAGCTATGGAGTAGTTCCTCTATTCACTTAGATGATGTGAATCCTAGCCCATGATGTTGTAAATTGTAGTTTGTGAACTCTTTGTGATGATAGATATTGTTATTTATATATTGATTGAGGCATTTTTCATGCAAATTGAGTGTTCTTGATAAAATCCCCCAATTTTGGGGCAAATTTACCTAGGAGGGAGAAAATCCCCTTATGGCAATTCAGATTTATCTCATAGGGAGTGGAATTGATTGGCTTAGTCATCTTTTGAGGTTGTGTGGTACGCCCCTCCAATTAGATCGATTAAGTGGGCTAGAATGCACTCGAATAGGGGGTCCTAGCTATTTTATATCTCATGACAATATATAAAGTTCACATATCGTACTAGAGTATAACATTTGCATCACAACATGGGACTAGGGGGGATATCGTCCGAGTAAACTTTTCTCACTTGAATTAAACTGATAGAACCCCTATTGATCTAAGACGTCCAGAATAGGGTTACAGAATGATGAATTGATAGATGATTAGGGATTTGATAGATATATTGGAAGAATTGGGGATTTATGATAGAAAGAACATAATTGTGGATTAGATATTTAGAAGAGGAATTGAGCATAATTAAGGTAAAATGACCAGGGCCATTTGGGAAAGGAAGGACGAGATTTAGAGGATTAAAGAATAGAGTTTAGAGGGATACTATTCTTAATACTTCTCTTATTGAATATGTCGTAAATCCAAAGTACATATTTATAGCAAAAGACTGGAACAAACCTGATAAATAACCTAATACTACTAACCCTAATAATATTTATTCTACCATAATTAATAATAGAAACCCACAAGAAACGTGTTTCTATCAATGTCCTCTCCCCCCTTTGAAACCAACCTTGCCCTCAAGGTTGGGGATTTAGGGATTAGAAGATAGAAATAGGAATTGAGATTGAGAATTTGGGGGAGAAGAAGAATAGAATAGAGAATCGGTCGAAGCCTTAGAGGGCTAGAGATCGAGAAATTAGAGGATAGGAGATTAGGATATTTGAGAGATACTTTCTGAATAATTATTCTTACTTGATTGTGACGAATGACAAAGTAAATATTTATAAGGAATACTAGGAAACTCTAATAATAATTTTAATTCTACTAAAAGATCACTAACCTTATTTAGAAAAATCCTAATAATACTAATAATAATAAATGGGGTATAAACTCAATTTTCTTAAGAAATCGTGTTTCTATCATAAACATTCTTTAATTCTTTGCTTATTTAGTTAATTAGCTCTAAACAATATTTTGATAGATAGATAAATGGTAGATTGGTGAAGTAAGGATATATAGATCCTCAGGTTTGATAATTGAAATCCTTTCTCTACACTACACCGGTTATAGGTTACACTTGGCCTATGATTGGGATTGGGTAGTAGCGGGCCAAGTTTTCTAGCGTTGTTGCTGGGGAGCACGGTCTATTATTCAGACAAAGAAAAATATTGTTAATTTAGCATTTTCTATTTTTATTTTATTTTATTTTGTGTACTATCTTTTTATGATGCATATATGAATCATGGATCCCATTAGCTTCTCCTATACGTGGGGGTATGAACCAACATCTGAGTAGTGTTATACTAGGACATCATGGAGAAATCAAAGCGGAAAAGACTATGGGTTCAGGTTCGACTACCAACCACCTTCTTATGTTGAACAACTATATCCCCTAGACGTTCAAGAGTTCCACCAATTTGAGCTATTGGTGGAGAAGTTTGTGTCGGATAATGAGAGATCATACTCCGGGCTGGCCTTCCCAACCATGGATCCACCTTACTCAGATTTCCCCTGTGAAGCAGAGGAAATTAGCAAGAGAATGGAGAAGCTGAACTCGATGGTAGAGATGGCTTGTGCACGGTTGACAAAGGATTGACTCTTAGCGGTCTGTGAAGAAAAGGAAGATGAAGAGGCAAGCCTCGAGGACGAATTGGAGCAGTCGGGAGTTGTCACGGAAGGCCACCGTGATGCTTAAGAACGCGAATATCCTATTGTGGTAGCCACCACCCTTCCCCACTTTATTTCAATCTTTAAAGAGGAGGTTATAAGTGAGGAGATGGGGGTGAGCCTATCGAAGACATCGCTTGGAACCTTGTTATCCGATACATGCTTGGGGAAGAGCGAGGAAAGATAAGAAAATAAGTTGTGGAGGAGGTAGAAATCAAGGAAGAGAAATTCCTTGAGACTCCACAAGAGGAGGAATCGACATATGAAGAAGGAAGGGTGGTATATGAAGCAATCGGTTTTCACGCTAAGGATGAAGTTTTGGTGGAAGAAGCTTGCATCGGCCATGAGCTTATTGTGAAACCTCCACCAAACTTTGAGGAGTTCCTTGGCAATGATCCTTTTGTGATCTCCCTTTGCCCGGCCAAAGCCACATTGTCATCATTCTCTCTTTATGGATGCGGTGGTAGAGAGTTGATGATGCTCAGTCTCATCCTTCACATCTCCAGTTAACTTCTCAGCCCTCAACTCTTCTCTTGACTGATCAACATCCACTTCTTCCTCACACATATGCCCAAAAACCTTTGCATCTTTTGCAGCCTAAAGGGAGATTACAGTACTCAAGATTTACCAAGAAAGCCGGTTTGTTATCAAAAACAAGTTTCAGAGTTTCAGGAAAGGCAGACTCAATATTCATCTCCACGCCAACCTTTGGGAAACCCATTCTTCTTCCTAATCTAGTAGATTGGTCAAACCATAGCGGAATGCCCAACATACTTGCCATTCTTGTTAAGATGAGACCAATAATATACTCAACAAGAAGATCATTGAAGCAAACCTAGATATGAATAAAAGAACTACAACTCACTGCACAAATGTCTGGAGTCCACTAGCGAAAGAAACACATTTCATTCATGAAGTGCCAAGGGCCACTGGCGAAGACCCATTATGGTGTCGCTGCGTTTGGGGAATTGGAACATTATAAGATGATTGCTAAACAGAGAAACCCTAACTAGTCTCAATTTGCTCCTGAAGCGATTTGCCCAAATCTAGAGTTGCTTGACAGAGGGCAAAGAATGGAGGAATTGCCCAACAAGACTATGCTCCCATATAGAAATTCCTTCTTGGATGAGCCCCGTAGGAATCCTTAGGTCACTCTCGACGATCTTAGGTTCTATGTAAACAAGTTGATCCGCCTCGACGATCCCAAAAAGACCAGCCCACGATTTCTCGATTGTAGTCATAGTGAAACAGAATTCAAAAGAAGTCGATGAGAAGAATCAGTAGAATAAGAGAAGATAAGGAGGAGAAAGTCACCTCCAACAGTCAACCTACACAATGGCCAAAAGCTCCCGGCTGCTGGAGGCATCAACGACTTAGAGAGAGGAAGTGATCATCATATGACTAAACTCATTTAGTGTTGATGATTTTCCACTTTCCTGCATGCTTTGCTAAAACCGACATGAACTAGTATAACCCGATTGTACCACCGATCAAACCATACCACTTACGAAACTGGCATGAAGTGGTATAAACCGATTGTACCACCGATCAAACAATAACACTCGCTAAACAGACATTATAGTATAAAATGATTTGATATGATACAATTAATCTTATATTATTATTATTATATAAAAATGGTATAATCCCCAATAAGCAATAAATACGATTATGCAGATCACAGCATTATCCAGCTCATCTGCTCTCGTAGGTTTAGGCTGATCTGACCTGTTTCCTATTCATCCAATTAGATCGCAACGCCCATTTAATAATTCATTTGTTATTTCCCCTTCCTCTTTCTTCCATTTCCATTTCCATTTCCACCCAATCCAGCCAATAATACCGAAACCGGAAACTTCCCCCGACCCGACCCTGAGCTCGAGCGGAGGACAACGACGACAACAAAAGGAGAGAAGCAATGAACGATACTCCCAACGGCGGAGCTCCGGACAGAGCCGAGGCGGAACGCCTCCTAGGAGTCGCCGAGAAGCTCCTCCAGTCGCGCGATTTCACCGGGAGCAAGGATTTCGCCGTCCTAGCTCAGGAGACCGATCCCCTCCTCGACGGCTCCGATCAGATCTTGGCCATCGCCGACGTCCTCCTCTCTTCGGACAAGAAGATCAGCGACAACCACCACCACGACTGGTACTCAATTCTCCAGCTGGATCCCTCCGCCGGCACCGACGACTTCGACCTCATCAAGAAGCAGTACCGCCGCCTCGCCCTCCTCCTCCACCCGGACAAGAACAAATTCCCCTTCGCCGATCAAGCCTTCAAGCTCGTCGCCGACGCGTGGGCCGTCCTCTCCGATTCCTCTAAGAAATCCCCCTTCGATCGCGACTTCTTCAGCTTGTACACCAAGGTCGATTTGTCCAGCGCCGGCAACAAAATGCCCGTCCGGAGGAGCCAGCGGTCGGCTAGCAAGAACAATTATCCAGGTGACGGTAGCAATAACAACAGCGCTCCAACTGCCGTCAATTCCAATAGTAATAGTAGCTCCGGGGACATGAATCATAGTAGTAGTCGGAGGTCGAGCAGAGTGGCCTCGTTTTGGACGCTTTGCCCCTACTGTTACATAATGTACGAGTACCCTAGGGTTTATGAGGATTGCTGTTTGAGATGCCAGAAATGCGAGAGAGCTTTCCACGCTGCTTTGATACATTCCTTGCCGCCTATGGTGCCAGGCAAGGAATCGTATTACTGCTCGTGGGGGGTTTTCCCTCTGGGATTTATGCTTGGAAATGGAGACAAAAGTTCTGCTTCGGACGCTGCTGCTGCTTCTGGTTCTGCATTTGTTAATTGGATGCCACCAATGTTCGGCGGAGGAGGGCAGCAGCAGCAGCAGCAGTTTAGTGATAGAAATGGTGTCCCTCCTCCTCCGCCGCCAGCTGCTGCTACCACATTTCCAGTGGTAACACCTGCTGTGCCACAGTCGACAGTGCCGCCATCCCTGCCCGTGCAAGGGAGTTCATCTGGAGTGGCACCAAGGAAACGAGGCAGGCCGAGAAAATATCCGCTGCCAGGGCAAACGTAAACGTCGGGCAACGAACTATGTTATCCTCCTGTGCATCAAAGAGTGACTGATGGAGAGTGGTTATGGAGTGGTAGTTGTTTGTAGGAGCTGCCTGCTGCTCTTACTCTCACTCTCAGTATGGGGGGGATGGATGCATAGGAATGAGGAGGTAGTGTTGTAGCATTTTTTGTTTTTACCTCTCTTGGTTCTCTCAGGTTTATGTGGTTTAGGGTTTTCTTAGATCTATCCTTTGTGATGACTGACTGCTTCATTGTTCATAATGAATTGTGCAACATTTGCAAACAGGCAGCACTGTAATTGGGGCAAATGTTTTCCTTCGACGGATTGAAGCAAATGTCATTTGTTGGGGTGAACTAGTTTTATGTTATCGATGACTTATTTCTGTTTCCAACAATCGTTTGCATTTTTTGTCCAAGTATGTGCTGAGCGATCTGCAGGCCCCGAACTGGATTTTCGTTGACAATCCTGTATTCTTCGGAGATGGATGTTCTATAGCAGAACTACAACGATTTGAATTAGAAGCTACAACGAACTCGAACGTTATGTATAAGTAGAACTGCCTGCTTACTTGGCTATGCTCTGCTCATTAAGCTTCTAACATTTCTAAAGCTGTTTTGAGGTTTGTGAAGTTGAGATTTTGACTGAACAGCGGCAAGTTGTTAACTTTGGTCAGCAGCAGCAAGTTGTTAACGCTTGGCAATCCTTTGCCTTAATAATAAAGCGCCTTTCTACTGTTGGGTTTATTTCAAGCATCTGCGATATAGTGTGACTGACTCCGAATCCCACTAGGATTTGTGGAGCAGAGAAAAGGGATCTGGAAAGGCATATATGTAGCCGTAGGAGAACATATCCGCAACCTTTCCTCGGCTCTGAAGTCAGTAACTTGTTGTCTATGGCGCTGCTTAGCAGCGATAGGGATGACTTTGGGATGCAGTACATAGGGGTTGAGGCTTACGCTACATATTCGAGCTTTCAAAGCATCCGATGATCCACAGCCATCCAATGCACAGGGTGGTAATAAAATGCTAACAGAAATTGATCTCAAGGAATCGGATGCCGAGACAGTTATGAACCAAGGAATGCCAGCAGCACAATCAAAATACCAGAAAGTTATTGGATAAACTGGTCCTCGATTCTCAATAATGTTAAGATGACAAAAGGTATTTGTTCATCTCTTCATTAGCACAAGCAAGTGCTCCAAATTTACACAAGTTGGCTGCTCCATCATCCCAGAAACTCTCCCCTTAGCCCCGGCAGCTAACTGGGAATTTTAGCTCTGGTCTTTCAAACTCTCATCAGCCGGCGGCATACACGTTTCTGCCGCCAACTCACACTCACACAGTCACACTCTACATCTCCCAAACAATCTAACTGGTAATAAAATGCGCAGAACATTCGACATTCAGGCGCTTTCCCCCCACCCAAGCGTCTTCTGGTTTGTGAGAGGCTGGCTATTCAGAAAACGATTCCTTCACTAACCAGTTTTGCAAATAGAAATGGTCAAGTTAAACTAACCTGGTGAAAGCACCATTATCATTTACCAGTTAATCAAAACAGAGGAAAACGGAAGAAAACAGAGAAAGTGGCTTCATCAGTAGGATGAAAAGATTTAGCAGGCAAGCTATCATCAAGGTACAAGGAGGAAAAAAAACCTCTTACAACCATGTATCAAGAAGCAGCAGAGGTATTAGAGAGCCTAAGGCACTCGCTCTGACACCTCCTCAGGCAAACATCATTCCAGTTGGGAACCTGGTGCTGGTTCACACACACGGTTCGAGCACAGGCATCCGCACAGGCATCGATCTCCGAAACGCCACAGACTGTGACACAAGTGTCGACGATCGGGTCTTTCGACAGGGCGCCCATCTTCTTCAACATCCTCTTGGAAGTGCACACCCTCTCGCAGACAAAGATCTCGTCGGAGCTCTTCTCCCTGCCCCTGGCGCTCTTCAGCCTCTGCTCCTCGGCTCTCTTCTTCTTGATCCTGAAAGCCTGGCCTGCAATCACGGCTGGAATCGCTGCTCCTAGCAACGACCACCATGGATCCACCATCCCTATTACTGCTGGAAACAAACGAGCTGACACTAACCAATCAATATCATTCGTTCCTTTTAGCTGTTACGAACAGTAAGGGTATAGAATTAGGGTTTTGGACGAGCAAAACGGATTCTCATTCTCAAAAGCCGCCCAACAAATGAGTGGAAGCAATATCGATTTCTAGGAGAAGAAGAAAGAAACTGTGAAAAAGTTCTAGACCCCAAGTCTACTTATTCAATCAGGCAACATACACACGGTAAACAAAAATTAGGGTAAAACTGCATTGTTCATATATTGGAGCTTATAGTGCCAAATTTCGTTAACATATTCCTTGTTCGATGGATTAAGCGGGTTCAAACTCCAAACCCAACATAGAGGTGAAGAGTTCGGCAGAGAGAGAGAGAGAGAGAGAGAGAGAGAGAGAGTAGATGATATTCTGACCTGGGTTGAAGGGGAAGTCGGAGCTGGCGGAGGTAGAAGAAGAGGGTGGTGGGGAGGTTTTAGCACGGGGGAGACGAAGGAGTGAAAGGGATTTTTAAGTAATATATGACAGATGTTTGCATTTTGTATAAAAATATTCACAAAATTTTAATTTTTCACGATAAAAAACATATGTTTGAGCGCATATATAACAAAATGGTCATTCTAAAACTTTGTTAATTTTGTCCAATTTGCATTCCGGGTCACCAAAAATATTAATAATAAAATTTACTAATCAAATCAATTGCCAGAGTTCTATTGTTGGAGGAATTTTTCAATGTTTTAAAGCATGAGTTTTTGCATTTATTGTACAACTTGAAGTTGTACTTTTAACGTTATCGTTATGGTACAATTTCGGACGTTATGGTACAACTTCGGGTTGTACTTATACTCTTTTGTAAAATCTTTTATGGTAGAAACTAAAGTTGTACCTTTATGTTATGGTAAAACTTCAAGTTGTACTTTTAACTTTATGGTACAACTTAAATTTGTACTTTAAAACATAGTAGAAGTGCTCCTATTACGAGTGGCGGAGGCAGGGCCATTTGGCCTTGTCCCGCGACAGGGGTAAATTTCGGCGGAACAAAAATACGACATATACATTTATATTGGTGATGGAACACAACACGTATAGGTAGTATTAAAGTACTTTCCATCACCTAAAAAAAAAGTACTTTGTCACTACTACAAAACTCATTACTTGTCCAAAATTGACATAAAATTAATTTATTATACAATAAACGAAATTCCAATTGCAATAAAGAACTGATCGGGTCTCTTTTCTCCTTATGCCTATTCGATCTTTCACCAACAACCCTGGAATTGTCTAGCGACAACGGCAATCCCACTGGTTTTGATTTACCAATTACAACTGCAAGTGTAAAAAGAGCATTTTTCAGCTTTGAGTTATATTAAGAACAAGTTTCTAAGTCGATTTGGCGACCAGTTTGCTAATACTTGTTTAATAAGATACATTGAAAGTGACTTATATAATAGTGTAGCTGGACATAAATGACGACCAGAGGAGCGGGCGTGACTGCGTAGCTGGAAACCTCCTTTCCAATGGAGGAATCCTGGACCGAAACGGATGGCAAGGTAGATAGGCCCCCCGATAGCTCGCCATTACTATGATGAACTCTTCTCTTCTCTTCCTCCCTCTCTTTCTCGTCTTGTTAATTTTAACTATTATGTCAAGTGACACCAATTTATTAGCCTTTAAAATTCTTGCCTGAAATGTTCATATAGCTAGAAAGCGGAGCCTTCTCCCGTTATCTTTTTTTTTTTTATTAAATGGAGGCTAAACAAAACAGCCGAGAGAGTTACAAGAGATCAGCCGAGCATAAATCAGGAAGCAGGCAACTAACACAGGGACAAAACAACCCTAACTATTCTCCACAACATGTCGCGGGAAGCTGACTCCCCGAACATCATCCTGCAGCATCGAAAGAAGACTGGTTGGGGGTTCATCTAGTTCATGCGTACCGAAGGGATAGACGAGACTGTGCTTCGAGAGCCAGTCCGCGACTCTATTCCCTTCCCTGTACGTGTGAACAAGTTGAACCACCCAACTTTGTGCTATCGTGCGGCGAATGGCTCCAAGAATCGTCGAGTAAGGATGTACTGGGTCTGCACGTTGTTCAATCAAATTCAAAGCTAACTGAGAGTCAGATTCAAGGATGAGAAACTGAGCTCCCTTTCGCCAAGCCAGCTGAAGACCTTGAAGAATGCCCCACAATTCGGCAAGAAGAGCCGAGCCAGTGCCAAGCTTGCTACAAAAACCGCTAATCCAATCACCCCAACAATTCCGCAAGACACCTCCTGCAGTGGCCATACCTGGATTACTTTGAGCAGCCCCGTCAGTATTCAGCTTCCACCATCCAGTTGCTGGAGCTACCCAACCAATCAGGGTCTCAGTTCTTGCAGGCTTGGAGTTAAGATCAAGTCTTGCGCTAGCTGCGTCCCAGGTTTTCAACCATTCATTCGCTTTGGCTGTGACATAATTGAGCCTCGTCGAGTGGGAGAGCTTGATGCCGTTGAAGACTCTGTCATTCCGGCATTTCCAAATGTACCATAACACCAGGCTGAAATAAGATGCCCAATTTTCTCTTCCGTTACCCTGCGAATCATTAGCAACATTAGACATCATCCATGTCTCATAATTGCAATTGAAAAACTCTGACTGGCTTTCACTTGGCACCACTTTGCTCCACACTCTTTTCGCTATATCACAGTCCCTCAAGCAGTGGAGGTGTGTTTCAGGAACGCCCTCACACTCTAGGCAAGAGTCGTCATCGGTGAGGTGTCTGTATTTGCGAATAGCATTGGTGGTTAATTTTCCTTTCATTGCCATCCAGATAAACATTCGCACCCGCTCAGGCACCTGCAGCCTCCAAATCTTTTGCCAAATGGTTTGCTGATCTGAACTATGAGGAACAAGTGCTCTGTAAGCAGAACTAGCTGTGAACTTCCCTGTTGAAGTTAAATTCCAGATTGGGCGATCATCTTCTGCAGCCAGAGGATCCACCATCACAGCTCTGATTTTAGTGATGATGCTCGATGGCAGCACAGACTCGAACTCCTCCACTTTCCACCCCTGATCTGCATCCCAGTAGTCCGCCACCCTGCTGTGCAGTTTGTCCGCGTCAATCTCCGTTACAGCAAGCTCCGCTAGTGGAACCTGCAAAACCCACGGATCCGTCCAAAATTTAGCTCTTCTACCATTAGAGATATTAAAAACATAGCCTTTCTTGATCACATCTAAGACAGAGGCAAAGCTACGCCAAGCAAATGAACTTCCCTTTACTTTGTTGAGGATATCCAAACCGTCCCTCGAGCGGGCATACTTGTTCTTTATCACTTCTGTCCATAGTGTGTGATCGTCAGTAACTAGCCTCCAGCTGCCTTTTGCCAGCATAGCTTGATTGGTAGCACGAGTTGGCCTGATTCCCGCTCCACCCTGGCTGCGAGGTAGAGTTAGTTGATCCCAAGCTATAGGGTGGAATTTAGTTCGACCCTCTTCTTCACCCCACACAAACTGTCGATTAATCCTGTCCATCTGATAGACCGTCATTTACACATGTTTTTACCCCCATTCTTACACCGTTTGAGGTGTTGATTCTCGTGTTTTAGGCCGATTTCACGGTAGGTTGTGCTTGTTTGTGATATTTCAAGTCCTAGGACGTGAATGAAGGCTTAGGAGCGAGTCTGGGGTCGATTGGACGAGGATCGGACGCATGGCGAGGTTCTGAGGAAGTCGCACGGGCACACCCACAACCCGCACGGCCGTGCAAGTGACCAGTTTGGCCGTGCGGGATCGTGCGTGGGCACGCACGGGATTGTGCGTGGCCACGCACGGCCGTGCAAGTGACCAGTTTGGCCGTGCGGGATTGTGCGTGGGCACGCACGGGCACAAGTGAAATCCGCACGGCCGTGCAACTTACAATTCTGGCCGTGCGAGTTGGCTGAGGTTCAACTAATTGATACGCCGCGTTTTGAGGTGCACGGCCATAATGGTGATGTGCACGGCCGTGCACCCTGGCCGTGCGAGTCGGGAATGGCTGTTTTTAACCCAAATTCGAGCCAAAGGAGAGGAGAGCTGGGTTTTGGATCCCAAACACCCAAGGGACGAACCCTAGAGAGAGAGAGCGACTTGGGAACATTCTTGGAGCTATTTTGGAGGATTTCTTCGCCATTGGAGCTCGGGAATCAAGCTTGGAGATGGAGATTGAAGATCTAGATCAGATTTCTGCAGTCTCTCTCTTCTCTATGGAGTAACTTCCCTTCACTTAGGTTTTGAGGAACCCTAGTTCCATGAGTTAGGAGCTTGCTTGTATGAAGTTTTGGATGCTTTGTTGTTTGATTATAATCGAATGATGCATGTTTATTGAGTCAATTGAAGTCTGATCAACTTTTCCTGATTCCTGCTGCAATCTGAGATAGATAGAATCTGATTAGGTTGCTAGAGTCTCATCATTCGGTAGTAGGAGATTGGCTATACGAGAGTTAGCCAGTTTACTGCTTTGTACTGGAATCCAATTCCAGTAGTGGAGTTCTGTGCTTATTGCTTCAGCTTTCTATCTCGGTGAAGACTAGTCGTCTGCCGGATAGTTAGACTGAGAGGGCTTGGTCAGCTTAAGAGATTCCAAGCTACTGTCGGATCTTCCGCAGTTTAATCAACAGTAAATCAACCAAAAGGAATTACAACTTGGACCTAATTGAGGAGCTAGGGGGAATCATACCTAAGTGAGTTCCCAAACTGTAATCAGTAGTTTTACTTAGTTTAGTTAGTAGAGTAGTTTAGTTAATCAATCCTTAATCTAGTTTGCTAGATAATGAACTGAAGCTGAGTAATAGTAACTCTAGAGACCCGTGGATTCGATATTTATTACTTGTGCCACTATACTGCAGTCCCTTTCATTGGTTACACTTGGCCATTGTTAGGTGTTGTGTTTTAGAGCATCACCATCAAATTGCAAACAGACACCGGCAGTGATTCTGAAAACATAGGGTAGATGGCCATAGATGTTGAGATTGATCTTACCAAGGTAACTCGGGCTGCCAAAGAGAGATGACGTGTTTTCCATAGAGCAAGCTTCTTTTGAATTTTTAGGCAGATTTCCTTGTACCTTGCTCTCGTAACCCTCCCATTAATCACATTTATGCCCAAATACTTGCCCAAGTCACTGGTTAAAGGTATGCCTGCTCTATCACTGAGTTGATGCGCTCTTTGACGGCTAATATTGGCTGACACCACCATGGCAGACTTTGAAAGGTTTACTTTTTGGCCAGAGCTCGCACAGAATTCATCGAGACATCTTCTAATGACATCAATCTGGTTGTGTTCGGCTTTCGCAAAGAGGATTAAGTCGTCTGCAAAAAATATATGAGACAGTTTAGGTCCATTCGGGGAGAGAGAGATAGGCTTCCAACGTTTATCATTGACTTCTTGTTCAATACGATGAGCCAATCTCTCCATACACAACACAAAAAGGTAAGGGGAAAGAGGGTCTCCCTGTCTTACTCCCCTGGAGGGAGTGATGGAATCCGTCTGTTGCCCGTTCCAATTGATCCTCATGCTATTATGCTCGACACAATACATGATTCTGCCAATCCAGGTGCTTGGAAGACCAATCTCAATCAGAGTGTCTCGGAGGAAATCCCACCGCAGCCTGTCGTAGGCTTTTTCCAGATCCACTTTAATAATGATCCCACCCTTTCTTCCTTGCTTCTTCCGAAGGGTATGCAGAACTTCTTGCAAAATGATAATGTTATCATTTGTCTGCCGTCCAGGAATGAAGCCACTCTGCGTTGGAGCTATTAGCTTTCTCATAAGAGGCTTTAATCGATTGGTAATGGCCTTGGTAATCGCTTTTAAGCCCACATTATTCAAACAAATAGGGCGAAGCTGAGCCGGTGACTCTGGCTGGTCCGTCTTGGGAATGAGCACAATGGTGGACTCCAGCATTTCGGGAGGAAGAACACCTGTCTCAAAGAAAGTTGTCGCCATGTTAGTTAGACTTCTTCCCACTGATCCCCAAAGTTTCTGATAGAAAATCGCTTGAAAACCATCTGGCCCAGGCGCCGAGAAAGGTTTCATGCCGAATACTGCGTTGTGGATGTCGGACATGTTAAAGGGGCGCAGCAAGGTAAGAAGTTCCTCTTGACACAATCTGGGGAACTTGTTCTTCGGCATCAAATCTTGATAGTGTGTCTCATCTTGAGTGTATAGAGTGCTAAAGAAGTTCACCACCAGATCCAAAAGTTTAACCGGATCATCAATCCCAACCCCATTCGTGTCCCGCAAGGAGAGAATTTTATTTCTTCTACGTCGAATGGTAGCTTGTTGATGAAAGTATGAAGTGTTCTGCTCACCGAGCTTCACCCATTTCTCTTTAGCCCTTTGATACCAAATAACTTCTTCCTGGGCAAGGAGAGAATCGAGCTCTGACTCCAGCTTAGCTTGAAGTTTGACAAGCCCCCTGTTGAAATGCTCAGCTAGTCTATTTTGCACTCCATGTAGCCTGGAAAGAAGCCTTCTCTTTCGGTGGCGAAGAATACCGAATACTGTATTGTTCCAGTGTTGCAGTTTGGGGGCAATGTCCTTAAGTGCCTGCTGAAGATCCATGTTACTTTTCCATGTTCCTGCAAAAAAATCCATAAACTGATCATGTAGCAGCCAAGCTGCCTCAAACCGAAAAGGCTTATTATTGCTATTGGAAATGGGAATAGGAGAATTGGAGGTGAGCACCGGGAGATGATCGGAATGCAGCCTTGGCAGATGTTGCACCGTGCTATTTGGAAAAGCCTGGTTCCAACTATCATTGCACAGAGACCTGTCAATTCTACTGGCTTTGTAATTCCTCTCAGTCACCCCTCTAAACCAAGTATAGCGTGGCCCTGAGAACCCCAAGTCAATCAAACTAGCAGCATCCATCCAATTAGCAAAGCGTTGACATCGCCGGAGAGTAGTAGATGAAATCGAGCCAGTTTTCTCAGAAGGAAGGCGGAAGGCGTTGAAATCCCCAGTGACCAACCAGGGGATGCTGAAACAATCACTCGTTGAACGAAGGCGATCCCAAAGAAGCGAGTGATACTTGTGATTTGGGCTCCCATAAACTGCCGTGAGAATCCAATCTGGCATAGATTTGCTGGAGACCCTAACAGTAATATGCTGCCGGCTCGCATCAATGAGTTGAGCTTGAAAAGAATCTGGTTTCCAAGCCAACCAATTCCCTCCTTTCCGGCCCTCGGCATCCACCCGAAAAACTTCTGGAAACCCCAACCTGCTGCAGACCGTCGTAGCCCTATCTCCACTGATTTGGGGCTCAAGAAGAATGAGAAAATGCGGATTATAGGTGTCTACTAAGAACTTGATAGACCTCCTAAACTCCTTACTTCCTGCACCACAAACATTCCAAGCAAGAACTTTAAAGTTTAAGTTAGCAAAAACTGACATTAAAAGCAACAAAAAGAAGAGAACGAAACCAATCAAAAAAGCGAAAGCCAAGATCAAGTATTAGCAGTTGGGTCACTGCTAGACTCCCTGTTCGCCGACACGGTATTTGTGAGAGTATCTCCCAGACTTTCCACCATATCGACATCGCCCGTTTTTCCTTCCTTGGCCGGCGCGAAATCACTTTGCTTTTGCTGCGATTGTGCGATGAAATCTTCGATTGCGCTGATAGTCACCGGAAAAGCTGCTTCCTTCAGTTTATTGGCAAGCTCCCTCTTATTGATAGCCACATGGACAGGTTTCTTAGCAACTCTGAGGCTGATGCCTCTATTGGGATCCTTTGCGGGAGAATGCTTAGTTTGCTTCCTCCTGTAGTGCTGCCTAACAGAGGTAGTCGAAGTAGCATTAGGGTCCCTGTTTTCTTTCAGATTCGTTGCTAAGGGAGGAACAGAGATCAGATGTATTGTAGTGTTGTTTTTCCCCACAACAGTTTGGGTTTCTAGATCCATCATTGTAGTCTTATTTCCTTGGCCCATAAGTATATTCTGATCTGAAATAGAGGCAGAGGCTTCGTTGGGCTGGGCCTGACTAACTATATCCCCCGCTGGCCCATAGCCCGCCACTCCTTTACGGGTTTGCCCGATTGAAACTTTCTATCTGTAGCTTGCTCCTCCATTACTGCAGACTTCCCTTTAGATACCAATACTGATCACTTCTTGTTCGCCGATTTACCATCCTCCTTTCCTTTAGTTTCCAAAGGAGACGTTGCTCTACTATCCCCTTTTCCTTTTTGAGCTGATTTTGTAAGAACTTTCCCAACTTGGGCTGTCTCCATTGGGGGAAGGTTGTTTCCTCTGCTCGCATCACCGTTTCCGGATTTGGCAGGTTTCCGTGATTTTCTCGTAACGTGCATCCATGGTCCAAATCCAGAAGGGGGCTCCGCCGGAGACGATTCCGATGAGATTTGCAGTTGATCGGAGCTCGAGCCGTTGGTGATGGCTAGCACTTGATTAGTTTTTGACAAAGGACAATTGTCTTCTAAGTGGCCAATTCTGCCACATTGGAAACAAATCTGGGGGATATTATTATTTTGGCTCATCATTCAACTCCACTAGCATAATATTATTATTTTGTTGGAATCGCAGATCAGTGACAATGCTGCCATTTCAGTTTGCAAGAAATTGGGGTTTCGATATGTCATCCGGGTGGAGGCAACTGGACGAAGCAGAGATATCTGGGTATTTTGGAAGTGAAAGTTGAACAAAAGAGGACGAAATCGGATCGAAAAGGGGAAAAAGGTGAAGATCACGGTTAGAGCAACTTTATCACGGTCAGCCGACCGTGAAGAACATCAAGGTCCAGAAAGTTTGGTACACCTCGCGGATCTAAAAATTATCACGGTCACCAGACCGTGATAATGCCATACAATCCGTGAAGGCCATAAATGAAACGATGTGTTTTCACCCGAGATCGCGGGCAAGGCTTCGAAACCACGCTCGTGATAATCGACAGCGATAAGCGCGCGACTAGAGTATAAAAGGAGAAGGGAGTTGAAACTTGAAGGGGGATCCTAGGGAGAGATTGGCATCTTCTTTTTCTGATTTTAGAGAGAAAAACTGATGAACAAAGAGAAAATAAGAGGTCCAGGATTTTCATCTTCCAAGGGTGGTTTCAACAACTAGGAAGGAAGTCAAACACCACATCATGGTTCTTTCTCTCCTATTTGCTGTAATCCCTACTTTAGCTATGGAATAGTTCTCTTTTTCACTAGGGTATGTTAACCCTAGCCTAGAAATGTGATAGGTTGTTGGATTTGAACTCTATGTGTGTTGATTGTGTGTTTTAATATAATGCTTGAGGTATTTTCATGATTTGTGAGTGTTGGGTTCCATATCTCGTTTGGTTCCAATTCATCTAGAAGGAGGAAATCCCCTCCTTGCCCACTTCTTGGCAAATTGGGTAACCACTTCTAGGGTGATTAGGGACACCCTCCAAACATCGATTTGGCATCACGATTTGATTGTGTTTTATCTCTTGGTCGCCGTTCCTGATTTGCCTCCAAGGGATTAGCTAGCAATCCTTAGCCGATTGATTGAGAGAGCTAGGTTACCTAACTTAATTGCTTTTCCTTAATCGATTGCCTAAGAGTGTGTGAATTTTTAACTAGTTGCGCCATCCTCACGAGATCACACTATTTCGCACTAGAGTTTCGATTATTGCAACTTGGTACAAGGCTAGGGGGAGCAATACTCGGGTGAAGTTTTCTCATAAAGAGTCCACAACAATTCAACTTCTTGCTTGCTTTAAATTGTAGTTCTTAGTTTTCACTCAAAACCGTTAGCTAGATTACGTTTTAAACGGTTGAAGTAGAAGTACATGAATCGGCCCGCCATTGAAGTAAATCCCTATTTTAGTAAATCCCTAATTTAATACTTGCGTCGATCCAAAAAAAAAAAAATTAATACTTGCGTTTTTGTATTCTATACTAATAATTTGCCCTTATATTTTAACCGTCCATAATTCCATGAGGCCACCAATAAAAGGAGAAGTGAAAGTGAGCAGATGGTGAGATTCCATTCAAGTGCGTATTTGATATTTCCCTTCCCGGCCGATGCAAGCAAGCTTCTTGAATACCTGGTTGTTTTTGCCTAGCAAAGCATAATGATAATGCAGGTGACCTTCTTCGTTGACAATTTGACTCCACATTTTGAACTAACTAATCACTCAATCCATCTGTAATCGCTGCTTCTGATGCAGATAGACAGATAGATGCAGCAGTTGAGCTACCAAACAACAACACATTTCATCAGACTTGTCCTGTCTTCGTACGTCTCCACTAGCCGCTTCCCACTTTCTCTTCCTCCACCACCACTATAAATTGCCCTTTTCCACCACTTCTCAGCTTCATTCAACGACCACCACAGTTTTGCCATTCCTTCCTTTCTTCTCCACCAAACAAAGAGAGAGTGATGTTGATCAAAGGCATGGCTTCCAACTGCAAAACATGCGCCCTTCCCCTGCTGCTGCTCTTCGCCGCGGCAATCGCTCTAGGCAGCAACGGAGTTGCTGCTGCTGCATCATCTCGCCGCATGTTGGAGCTGCCGGAGCTTCCGAAGCCCGAATTGCCTCCTCTGCCTAAAGTGGAGCTTCCACCTCTCCCCAAGCCAGAGCTGCCCCATCTCCCTGATCTCCCCAAGCCAGAGCTGCCCCATCTCCCTGATCTTCCTAAGCCAGAGCTGCCCCATTTCCCTGATCTCCCCAAGCCAGAGCTGCCGCACTTTCCAGAGCTGCCCAAACCCGAAATCCCCAAGCCTGTAGTTCCAGAGTGGCCCAAACCTGAAATCCCTAAGCATGAAGTTCCAGAGTTGCCCAAACCTGATGTCCATAAGCCCCAAGTTCCAGAGCTGCCAAAACCTGAAATCCCAAAACATGAAGTTCCAGAATTGCCAAAACCTGAAGTCCCAAAGCATGAGGTGCCAGAGTTGCCCAAACCTGAAATCCCCAAGCTTCCAGAACTGCCGAAACCTGAGATCCCTAAGCATGAAGTTCCAGAGTTGCCCAAACCTGAAATCCCCAAGCCTGAAGTTCCAGAACTGCCGAAACCTGAAGTCCCTAAGCACGAGGTGCCAGAGTTGCCAAAACCTGAATTTCCACCTCTGCCCAAGCCTCAAGTTCCAGAACTTCCCAAACCTGAACTTCCACATTTCCCAAAACCTGAAGTTCCACAGCTGCCTAAAGTGCCAGAGATACCAAAACCTGAACTTCCAAAAGTACCAGAAATGCCCCATCTCCCTGACCTCCCAAAACCCATTACTCCTTGAAATCTTTCCCAGCTTGCTCTTCTGCCTGTTGAAGGTGGTGGCTGCTGCATCTACTAGTTTCTCATACCATCATTATCCATATGGATCTGCTTTGGCTGCTAGCTTTCGATTTGTGTAACGCGATCTGTGTGTTTCGTTACCTTTTCTGTTTCTATTTTGTTTTATGATTTTGAACTTATTAATGTGTGTGTGTGATTAATGTACTTCATGGTGTACCCGATTATGATTTATATATTGAGATGGATATTAATCCATTATATTGATATGATTAAAATATTTTTAATTAGTTCAGATGTTACTTTTTTTCTTTTTAAGAAAACAGAAGTATATAAAGTGGGGTTGCAATTAGTTTGAACACTTTAAACATGTTAAACTAGTATGACGAATCTTCAAACACTTGATGGAGCTAGAATTAAAAAAAAAATAGATCATATATTTCTGCTTCAACTAACGACAAATGCGTGCTTGATTCTAATTTTACAACCAATCTATATTTACATAGACAAATTTGTAATCAATTTGGCCAAAAATTAATACCATTTCTCGTCATGAGATGACAAACCATTTTCGTTGAATCAAAATTGCCCATAATACTGCATGTAAAGGGAGAGCCTCAAAAAGACGAAAAATGTTTGTATAAGATGATCGAGCTCACGCTCTAAAATTTCAATAGCAATATTTCGGAACGGTTTAAGAATATTTGTCATGCTACACATCTTTCTATAGATGCTGGAAATACTTTGTAGCCTCTCATGAATTTTCAACTGACTATATCAGTATATCTCCTTCGTTTCAATTCTGATTTTTGGGGTTCGCATGAGGTTTGGAGATCTTGTCGTTAGAGTGAATAATATAGTTGGAGGAGGTTGTTGGGGGCATAATTTGGTTCAAACTTGTCGCATGGCTTCTGCTGCTACTGTTTGTGCTCGTAGAGGAAGTTTTCTTTGGTTTTTGGTTAGATAGATTTTGCTGAAGAGTGTTTTTCTACCCTCTTTTGTGTATTGAGTTATTAAACCCACATTATGCTTACTCGTTAATGGTTGATCAAGTGTTAAGAACACCATGTTGGTCGGTCCTCGGTGAACGTAGAGGTAGGATAGGCAGTTGGTCAGATCTAGTATGGATCGTACATGGACGATAGTTGGAGTCAGCGGCTCTCCTAGGGTTCCGGACTCCTGCAGAAATAGATATTTCAGACGACCCAAAAACAACAGGATGGAACAGAAATTATATACCTAATTTCAGCATTTATAATTTCAGTTATACAACATTTCAACATAACCCCCTTTTTCTTCTTCTTCTGGCCTGGGGACTCATCCCCTGCACTATACACTCTTCAAGGACCTGTTCCTATATACAGACTAAGTTAAAATAAGCCAGCCGTGGGGAAAAGGGAACTTCGACAAAATGGTGAGGGCTGAGCTGATTGTTCCAGTCACACAGACTAGAACAGCCAAATCAGCCACCAAATCCCTTTCCCCCCGCTATCCGCTGCCCGCTCCCGACTAATAAAATTACAAATAAGCTTAATCTGTTCTTTCGCTCACTGATCTCCTAATGTGTACACCAGATTTTACATCATTGGAAGACAATGACGACAACTTGTTACTAACCCATCCTACTAATCTCTCCGAGTCAGCTTCTCTACAACTACTACTACCTAATTTCCTACTACGGTGATTATTATGCTCAACCGTATCAGCGTGGTAAAACCGATCATGACTTCCAGATGTATCTGCAAACCTTGCTGCTGAAGTATCTCGTTCCATGTTCGAAAGGGGTGAATGTCTCGAGTACAACGGAGACGAAGATGATGATGAAGATGAGGAGGTTGTGGTGGTGTCAAAATCTGCTGCTGCTTTCCTCCAAGTGCTGCTGTTCCAACCACCAAAAATGTAATCGGAGAGATCATCGGCACTTGTGGAATCCCGGGTGCTATCACTGCTGCATGAGCCTTCATCAGAATTGCTGCTGCTGGTGAAAGAGTAGTTGTCGCTCGATGAGGAGTCCTCTTCCAAGATCCTCTGCAACCGGTGGAACTTCAAATAGAAAGATTCCACACTTGCTGCTTCATGATCCGGATCAGACACTACTGAATTGGGCTGGTGTTGTAGTGACTCATGACCACCACTTGATCTCGAACTTATTAGTCCCACCTTCGAGTGGATTTTGGAAGCACTGCTGCCTTTATTATTCTTCACATCAGGAGACAGTACTGTTCCATTCTTTATCAACCCCGGTGGAGCCTGGGGAGAGCATCTGCAAGATGAAGAAAAAAGTCAAATCAGTCAACTTACACTACATTGACCAATTAAAATAAGTTTTGAAATTATATGCAAACAGCGAGCATACAATATCTTTACCTTGCATAAAGAAGCATGTATGCACCTTTGGTCAAGACCCTTTCCAGTTCAACCGTTGTTACCTAATTAAAACATTAGAAGCAAGATCAGATCTAATGGAACAACTTCATTGTACTTGGAGTGTCACCAAAAAAAGAAACAGCAACCCAAAACATAGGGCAATAATAGCAGGTTAACAAATAACAATAGATTTAAAAGGTTCCTAAATTTAGGATCTTAGGAAAAGGCTGGTATAGTATTTGTGTGAAAATTCAAAATTTAGGAACCTTGCTATAAAAAACGTTACTAAATTTTCACACAAATACTATATATCAGCCTTTTCAAAAGATCCTAAATTTTCACACAAATACTATATCAGCCTTGTCCAAAGATCCTAAAGATGTGAAACATTTATTCACTAGGCTGGGGTTTCCATTCATACAAGGTGAGTGTACACTCGCCAAAGGCACAAATGAACTACTACTTGAGAGGATAGATGCTGCAGGGGTTTCTGGTCATACAAGGTGAGTGCTGAGTGTATACTCACCTAAAGATGTGAAACATTTATTCAATAGGCAGGGGTTTCCATACAGTAACAACTGAAGTTACATGAAACCTTGTGAACTACACTACTTAAGAGGATAGATGGTGCATTATTGTTATGCATCTGTATAGCACAAAGGGATAAATAAAAATCTTGCTCAGGCGAAAAAGAAATCATAAACATATTATTTAGAACGTACCGCACTGTCGTCAATCTTGTACCACCTATTCTGGCTATTTTTAACATAGCACACATAGTGACCAGAAAATGAAGCATTCATTATGTCCAAGTGAACAATCACTGCGTAGAGCCTGTAAACTGGCGATTTATCGCTTGTACCACTCATATATGGTGACAAGTCCAGGATCTCAGGGAACCGAATCGATTTATTGAGCTTTCCAAATTTACCAGACTGCAGAGCAAGAATTAGTCAGATTAAAGGTGCTAGTCCAGATGCATTATAAAGTATCTAAAGTAAAAGACTTGCCTGGAATCTCTTCAAAGCAATTGTAAGAATATTAGGAGCCTTCAATATTGTCAACTTCTTCTTGGCTTTCTCATAAGATTTGCATCTGAATAATATTAAAACAATAAAGCGAATCAGAGAACACAACAGACATGTAACAGCAGAATTTTGCTAACTTCTAGCTCAAAATATATCATGTCAGTCATACCCAGCTAATCATTTTCCTTCTACTGGGCTGGGCAGTGAGAAGATAACAGAACCAAGGAAATGCAGCGTATTCCACAGTTGTGATGCAAATGTGCAAGTCCCATTTTCCACCAGGCAATGGGAAACCATATTCTTAAGTACTTCTATCTAAATCCAACAGCAATCCACTGAGGAATGAAATATCACAAAGTGATATAGCTCTAAGGTTAACCATACAAAACCAAAACTAGGAATCAAGCACAGAAGTCATGAATCAACAACAGTCTTAAAAAACAAATTCAGTTTTGGAAGTTCTGCACCAACATATTCTGCGGTGGTAACTACATACAGTAAATCAGCAGGTTCACAATGCATTACCAGATCAGTACAATACAATAAATAAAATCTAAAAGGTAAAAAGCATTGCAGTTCAAGTTATGCTGTCCAGATCTGGTGTCTAAAATAACACAATAGATACAAAAGTCAATTAAAACGTAACCACAAAGCGTAGTGACATAACCAACCTGCCACACTGGTACTTGTTTTCCCCGTCTAGAATCTCAGTGCTAGTAAAACGCCTGAGCGCATCTTCTAGTTTGCTTATGTCCCCTTCTATTTCAACAGTGAGGTCCATCATTCTTTCTTGCCGTTCTGATTTGTAGTGGCACTTCATGCATTTTATCTGCAAAAACGACATGATGTTGTGAATAAACACTGGCTGCACTGTAACCTTTATCACAACAGGTTACTTGGTTCGAAGCAAACACAGCATCCAAGGACAAAAGTCAGAGAAGATTTAGCGGTTAGAGAATAATTGGACAGAACAAGTACCAAGCCATGAAGGGTTGGGGGTATGCTGAATGAGTCATCCAGCTCAATGCTAGAACATTACCTTTGACCTTAGATAGCCCCCGAATGTCAGTCCAATAAGGGTAGTTTCTTCTTCGGTTGAGCCGACTGCTTTAATTCCAGCTTCTTTCAAGCAAACAGATTGCATAGCATCAATAGCATACCTAGAAAGTAATCTGACGATTTAGCACGCTCTGATGGAAACCAAAATAGAGGAAACACCTGCAAAGAAGTACGACTATATATTTTGAAGGGGGGCATCTAGCAGAGTTTCTACACTAACCTCAAAAATTCATGTGCATCTTCTTCTCTCCCATTACCTAGGTTGCTTCCAATATTCTGTAGTTGTGAAAGTATAGAAATGGGAGAGAGTGGACTTCTCCCTTCCTTTGTCTTCAAAACCAGATTTTCAAGCTCACAAGTGAAACACCATTCCTTTCTTGCACCTGATATTAAAAAGAACTCTCAGATAGCATATCACGAGAAGCAGAAAATTATTTTCAAAGCTTAAATAATAGAAGGGAACCATCAAGAAACATACAGCCTTTAGAGTGGTGTCCTTGGGCAAAATAAGCCGTCAGAGGAGGTGTAAATGACAAGCACTGAAGGACAGCATTAGCATAGCAGCTGCAAGAATGAACCAAAAAGCGTATCATTAATAGCAGAGCAGTACATTTACATAAAACGTTTAGAAGCCCTTCACGAACAATCATCAACATTGCCACACTTTTGAGGCAGCCAAACGACAAAATCTGGCATATGAAAGTGCTTATCTGAAAATAATGATTTGCAACAGAACAATAATGGTTCCCAATAATTTAATGACGTTGTATTAACGTGTACCTGTTCCCGCAATTGATGAGTCCGCTAGGTTGCAAATCCACCTTGTGAGAATATAACTTTACAAATAGATCATAAGGGAAAATGCCCTGGTAGAAAGAAATTACAAGTGAATTTCTGCAAAATATACCTAAGCACAAAATAACAATAGAAAGCGAGACAAACCTTATTACTGTATCTTCCGAATTTAGGACCTCTGAGATGGTCAACAACCTTCCTCATTGATGATCTCAATCCACTCATAGAATTTGAAGACATACTTCCAGATTGATTAGAAGTAACAGGAAAGACTTCACCATTCTCAACTTTCACATCTCTCACATTTGGCAATGAATGCCCACACATACTAGAAGGATGATGCTCAGGACCACTTGAAGATAGTCTCGGTTTTGACAAAAGTGAAGCTGTCATTGTATCACTAGCAACAAGATTTGACCTCTTTGAGTTCGAGGAAGAAGATAGAGAAACTTTCGGAGCATCTCCATACATTGCTTCGCAATTGGAAGATACAAGCGGCGCAGAGGATATTGCTGTAGCCCTAGGCTCATGGGCTATTAAGACTTTTGAATCCACACATGAGTCATTCCTGATACGAGTATACCTCTCCGAGTTCCCAGATTTAGCGCTGCTGATTCTTGGAGCATCCACAGTGATATTCTCCAGTACAGAGTTCCTACTGGGTTCCTCATCAGATATAAGTTTTTTCCCCTCTGGCCGTTGTTTATTAGAGGAAAGAGCATCAGTTCTGCCCATGTTGTACTTGAAGTGACGGTTTTTATCAGAATCAGATACCTTAGTCTTCACAGCTCTAGCAGAACTGGATTTAGCACTATCATCTTCCACCACAGTGGCCACGACAGACTCTGAAGCGCCACACCAAAAATCAGAAGCAATCTTAACAGGGTTGGTTTTAGAAAATGTAGCGTTGATGCTGGGACTCGAAGAACTAGAAGACACATAAAAATTCGAAGGCTTTTCACCATACAGTTTGATGCCATCTGAATTAACCATGTTTTTAACATTATCAGTGGCATCAGCCAACTTAGCGAATTTTGGAGACAACGGCTCGGGCCGATCCCCTTTGCTCAAGCCAGAACAAAGAATGCCAGGTGCACAATCAGTGGTTGTTTGTCTATCTGGACTCTCATGATCATTTGAACTGATGCTTTCACTTACAGAAGCCTCATCAGACGATTCTCTACTTGTAGCAGGACTAGAAAATCCTGAAAAGAATGTACCTGACGATTCGGATGTCGAATCCACCCCCATTGCATCTGATATGAAATCAACTCTAGTATCTTCTTCCCTTCTATGTGCAACATCGGGAGACGAACCAGAATCAGAAGAAGCATGCTCAGTGGATGATGTATCACTTGGTGCATTCTCCCATCTGGCATCATAAGTATGAGGCTCAATTTGCTCTGCTACCTCCACCTTGAAACTTGTTATATCATCATTCAAGATGGACGGAGGACGACACTCATCCCTATGACCCTGCCGCCAGTGGATGATTTGACATTTTCCAGAACTGAAACAAATCAAATGTAAGTGTACTGAGGGGAAAATAACAAGAATGATAGGTCATTATTGCCATTACAGAAAAAAAAAAAAAAAGAATCATAGGGTCATTGCAGACTAAAAAACCATAAGGATATATTGTGCTAATTCTTGCCCAACAGGTTAATTGAATAATACCATAAATAACTCCAAAGCAGCTGCTGCAAGATAGAGTCGTGATCATATATAAGTGACGAAAATTTTCCTCTTGGTAAGCCACATTTGACTATAGTTAAACAGTTCATACCAGACAGAGAAGGAATTTGAGGGGGAACAACTGTTCTACTCTCAACCAATTTCTACAGCACCATCAGTAATATTCAGTAATACTCAAAAGAATTCATCAACAATCTAGGAGTAGATTCAAGACCACCCAGTTTTTGTACCTATGTTAGGATCCTTGAGTATAGTGTCATTTCCAGCAGGCTAAAGATTCCTAAGAAATCTATCAATTCATTAGAGTTCCTGACCGTATCCTAAGTAAAAGAATCAAACTTGTTGATGAGATATAGAAGCCCTGCACATACTCAACAGATCTATCTCCCACGGACAGCATTTCCTACATACAGAAAAGTGATTTGTTGCAAAGCTCGAATAGAGAAACCTACAACTCCATCTCCCACTGACACTCTGACAGCATTTTATCTCATAGAGCAACGATAATCGAACGGGTAACTAGACTTTGGAATCTGAATTGCATAGCATATGTGATCCATGAAAAACAATGAACCTACGCCTCTATTTCAACCGTAAAAGCCAATGAATGCTCATCAACAAAATAGATCCCCATTCTATCGATGATTCGATAGCCTAGCTGATTATCAATTCCCCAGAGAAGAATTATCTAAGGTGGAATTCCGGAGCAAAGCAGCAACTAACAAGGAAAGGCTAAGGAATTCAAACTTGTTTGAGATTAGAAAAAGCTTAGCATACCAATATCTGACGGCTTTACACTGGGCACATCGCGTAGTGGTTGGGGAATAACAAACAAAGCACTGGTACACATTCCGGGACACCGGGACGGGACTGTAAGAAACCGTAGCCTCGAGCTCAGCTCTAACAGCTTCCTCGGACGCCAACACCAGGAGCCTATTGATCTCCTCGTTCCTGGCGACGGCAAGCCGCCATTTGCGATGTATTAGAAGGATAACAACCGGGAAAGCGAGGCACACCGCCGCAAGGACCAGGCTGGAAAACCCTAGATCCCCGGGGACATGCATTTATGATTTCACGCTCCTCAACTTGACACGCATCCAGCGGAATTCACAATCCCAGAAGCTCCTGCTCTCACCCCCACGCATAGAATGAAGCGGGCACACCGGAGGCGGCGATTGTAAAACGAACAGACGCCGAGATCGGAGACAAGGGGCGGCCAATCGGTTTCCGCCGAGGGCTGGGAAAGGAAAGCCAAAAAAAGGGCCAAAACGCAAACGCCCACCCGCGATTTGCCGGGAAGAAACACAAAGGGTGAATGCCTTGATAGTTGATACGCTTTGATTGGAGAATCGCGACCTCGGACTGTGAAAATGGCGAGGAATATGAGTGCGGATTGTGGAATTATTTTTTTTTCTTTTTTCGCTTGTTTGGTTTGGCTTTGGAAACAATCAGATCGAGAGTTTAGGGTTTGTTTCTTTTCATACCGTTTTTACCTTTTCTTTTGTTTATTCTTTTTAATTGAGAGCGGAGAAAAGGAAAATGAAATGAAAGGAGAAGAAAAGAGGAGAGCGACGAGGACAAGGAGAAGACAAAAGAGTCAATAACTTAATAGGGTAAATTGCAAGATTAGTCATTGGAAGTACTAAAATATTCACGTTTGATAATTATATTAAAAGAATTGTATTACATTCGTAGTCACTGAAAGTGGTTAACATTTTAAGATTGATAACTCTCCGTTAGTTTTCATTAACACCGTTAGTGGTTTGATGGCGTGGCAATCAGAAATGCTTATTCATCCAATTTTAACCTGCCACGTCATAAAATCCGACCCACCACATCAATTTTACCTGCCATGTTAGATTCTCTCAACCTATGACTCGACCCTCTTATTGACCCGCCCGACCTAAAACTCCATTAGCCCAAATGAAACCCCATTCCGACTCACCCTCCCTAGTCCCATCTTCCCCACCGTCATTGACCTCTAATCTCCATCGTCGCCATCAATCATTGCAATGGGATTCAACAACACCAGCGTCAAACCCATCTCTGCGAAGCCTTCAAGAGCAGCAGGTTGATGTGTATTCCGCTTAACGTCATCAAAGGGGGAATTATACAGTCGTGAATGTTGAGTTTTGTAGCATTTAAGATCTAGATTCCCATATCTAGAAACCCCGTCGACGATGACCAAAAGGGCAGGGAAGAAGGAGCTTCAATCTTCTCGTTCCAAATCCCAGCCGAGAGGCGCATCCAACTTTGATTGACGCATTCCAAACCAACTCCTAGAAGGATGAAGAAGTCAAACATGGTATTTTCTTCTCGAGAAACGATGGGGGCGGAGAAGACTAGCCACATCGAAGGGTGACCCATATTAGGCGTCACTCTGATTTCATATTCAAAACTTGTCTTCTACCTCCGACGCTGGCGACCATGAAAGGACTGGGAAGATTGACGTGGCAGTGAAGGTAGGGAAGCGGAGATGGATTCAACTTTGTTTCCTCACTTTGCTTGAAACCACAGTAACTGAATTGTTATTCGTCGCCCTAAAATTTAAATTATAACGCCCTAAATTACACTAAATTGACACATTTACTGCATTTCTAACCTAAATCCTCAACAAACAATCCCTAGTGCTGCCGATCCCACTACCCGTCGCAGCTACCAGCGGACTCTGCTCCCCGCCACCTCCATCCCATCTCAACCCAATCCCTCCACCCGCATCTGTCACTGCTGCTCCTTTTGCAGCCTATTGTATAATTAACCGGCTAAGGTTTGGCCGGAGGTGAAGTTCTGCGTCGAGACGATGGTTTCCGTCGGGCTGGTGAAGCTTGACCAGACATGATTTGCGCCACCGTGAAGGTTACGAGAGGGAAAGAAGATATGGGAGGAAGAAGAGAGATTGTAAGTTCATTTTCCCCTCAATCTCTCTAGCTCTGTGGCTGTTTATTTTTGTTGGGTTCTAGAGAGAGAACTAATTGTGAAGACAAACAAATTTGAAAGTTAGATTATAAAACTGAATTGCTATTCATTTTTTCATCTATGGGGCTCTGTGGCTGTTTATTTTTACTTTGGCGACGAGTAAAGGGTCATTTGGTGTGAGTTGTGTGTATTTGTTTGAAGGTTTGTGTTTGTAAGAAAAAAAATTTATGGACATTGGGGTAAATTGATTAAGAGTTAGGGCGATGAATAACATTTTTTAGGATGACGAATAGCAATCCCTCACAATAAACCGTACTCATCACCATAGCTTGAAGTTCCTGGAGGATCTTGGGATTTGATTGCCGGCAATAGAGGGGGGAAGAAGGATCATATCAAAGTGAGGCGAGATGAAGGAGAAAGAAGAGAGGTTTGAGTCGGGTCACGGGTTGAATTAGGTTGAGTTATATTGTGGTAATGTGGTCTGTTTTATGACATGGCGGGTTGAGTTTTATGACGTAACAGGTTAAAATTGGATGAATCAGCATTTCTGGTTGCCATATCAGCAAACCACTATCGGTGTTAATGAAGACTAACGGAGAGTGACCAATCATGAAAGGTTAACCACTTTCAATGATCACGAATGGAATACAATTCTTTTCATGACCAAATGTGAATATTTTAACACTTGCAGTGACCAATCTTGCAATTTACCTAACTTAATATAATTAATTTTAGATTCGTAAGAAAAAAAAGGGAATTGTAGGGGTCAAAAAACAAATGTTGATAATTAAATGAATTTATTGGCAAAATAAATCGGAGGAAAGGAATATAATAAATTTATTAATAATTTAGTTCTATGCCACCACCAACTAATTCATCTTGGATTTCATCAATGGCGGGTGAGCATTCTTGGGTATATCTGTTTGGGATTGTAGAGAAGAATTGTTTGGTCTACATCAAACAGGAAATTGTTGATCGTGGACTCCGAATTCCATCGGAGCTTGAGGAGAGGGCATCACGCGATGGAAAAATTGACTTGTTGGACAGTTCTTGACGTCTTCTCCGCACATTCGACAAGTTTAAGCATGGGCGAATAGGCTCTGGAGTCGCGATGGCAGTGTTAGGGTTTCATGGCTTGGTAGGAAACTCCTTCTCTTCCAGTTCCCTTCAGACGTTTATGCTCATTGGGTCTTCACTTGTGGACCATGGCATCTCAATGACGACATGTGCTACATCCGCAAGTGGGAACTAAAAATTCGGGCTGAGAAAGCTCGACCTGATATACGTAGTCATCAAGCGTTGCATTCGGATTAAGGAAGATGCCATTGTCCCAAAAGTTGCTACACATAACAATTGCGCTGAAATAACTAGAAGGTGAACTCAACTTGGTTGATTCAAATTGGAGATCCATTTCAGCTTTGGGTTGCACCACACATGCCTAAAAACAAAAGTTCATAACGAATAGCCATATTTCCTCTTGATATGGGGAAAGTCCAAAACAAAGCAAAAATGAAGGAACATGCCAAAGGGTAAAGACACCTAAACATGAACATAGTAAAAAGTTACAGCTTTTGAAAAGTTGTGGTATTGCCTCAAAATGAGAGCTCTGTGAACTGTGTAAAATTTATAGAGTGATAAGCCATCACTTTGAGTATCATAATGACATTCAAGCAAGAGAAGTGAAGAATATTGTTGACATCTCAGCAGAAGCATCATCGAGCGATGCATAGTCATTTTTTGTGGGTTGTCTTACCCAACAACCAAAGTGTTCGTCGGTACTTAGGGGTCCCAGTTGTTAGGGGCAAGGATGATCTTACTTTAGGTGAGCTAGGTATGTTTGTGGATGAGGCTACAAACAGTGGCTCCCACGGTGAGACCAGTTGGGTTCTACAGGATTCTACTGGCATGGTGATGGCAATGCCAGCATCGTTATGCATAGAGATTACATATCCGTCTCTCATGGAACTATTGGCCTTTCGGGATGCAGTCTGATGATGCTTGTCTTGAGGATTGTATTCGATGACTTTTGCAGATGACACCTAAATAATACTAGGGAAGATATGGAAGAGTGAGGTAGCTAATGTCCTTGGGGATACGATTTTGAAAGCGATTAGAAGTTTGAAATAATTTAAGATTATTTTTGTTTGTTGTGTGGTTGTTACAAGATTGTCCACTTGATAACAAGAAAAGTCCTTTCGTTATCCCCTTTTTAGTGGGATTCAATTTTGTTTCTTGATTATTTTCAATTATGTGACTCTTTGTGTCTAATTATTTTCTCGGGAGTAATCTACGGAAAAAATTAAAAATAAAAATCCTTTCTAGATTGGCGTTCTCCTGGAAACCGAAGCTACCGACTTTCTGTCCTAAAACATATTACACACTGAATCAACTGACGTCATCGACAACATAAGTACCGTCCTAATTTTCTACCTTGATTTCAACCATCACACTTCGGTATTCTTGCCTTGAATATGAACACAAAACAGCGAGAGTAAAAAAGATGGTTAGTCATCTTGCTTAACAGCCTTTGTTCTCCAGGCATAATACTCTTCCCGCAGCTGCAAACCAGAGACTATCAACACTAACGTTGAAATGAAACAGAGTAAGATCCAGTATTCGGATCCTTTACAGCTTTGAAGTTGTTGACGCTCAAATTAAATCGACTGAGCAAAGAGTCCCCCATCTCTTTCAGCTTCCCTGCTCATGATAAGATTTCAGAAAGCCAGCCGAGAATTACAAATCCATGCATTATAGTCAATCAAGCAAGGTACTGGAGATCACAAAGACTGTTTCCACCAAGCAAGGCAAACAATTGCAGATAATGTAATACCAAAATTCATCATGATATATTTCCCATCCACCCAGGTTACCAATTATCTCTTCCTTCATTTTCTCACGCTTCTCTGCTGCCAATGGCTCCAACCGAATAACATATCTACGAGCAAAGTCGTTTGACGGATCTAACTCCAAAATCTTTTTCATATCTGCAGCAGCCACCGAGATTAAGAGAGGGATAGACAACACTCAATTACTCTATTGCATATCCAAGTATTTTAGAATTAAAATGAAGAGACTGGTCAACCAGAAGAACAAACCAGAAATAGCTTCCTCAAAGTGTTCAAGCTTTTCATGGGCCTCTCCTCTTCTCATAAAAGCTTTAATATATGAAGGGTTTATTTCTAATGCTTTCGTGCATTCCTTGACTGTTCCCTCATATTTCCCGTGCATCGTCAAGTTCACAAAGCTTACAACTACAAGTGTCCAACAATGGAGATAACATTAACCTTGCCAAGGACACAAAAACTAAGAAGCTCGAAACAAGAATATGAAAAAGGAAGGCACACAGGAGAATTTCCATGCATAAAAATACACAAAGCTACAACAAATAATGCCAGGAAAATGTACTTGAATCAATTTGACTTCCATAGCACAAACCCAAGTCTGCTTTCTAAAGCAGAAGAATATGCTAATGCTATGTGCATAAATAAAAATAAAGAGGGCAGAGAGAAAATGTTACTGAATTCAACCTAGCTTCAGTAATAACCAACTTTGCCTCATAAAGTAGAAGAAAATGTTGTAGTGATGGATGCACGAGCAACAACTTCAAAAGTGAGCAGTATTTCCTAATATAAACATGACTGTAATGGTCTCCTTCATTAAGGCCCATTTACTCACATTTTTTACATGTTTATAATGTAATTGGGGAAAACAAACGTAGTTGTATCCTTCAAGAACAAATAAGAAAGCATATACTTCTCTTCAAACTTGTCACCATCACACTAATATACAAGCATATCTAAGTAGACATGCAATAATACACATCGATGAGAAGGAAGGACATAAATTTTCATTCATTCTCTAAAGTCAATAGAAGTATGGATTTCAAAGAATCACTAACCAACACGGAGCAGGGAATGCATACAAGAACAACAAATAATAGGTTGCTGATTGACAAAGAGACGATTTAGAAGAAAAAAACTAGCACGCCAAATGTAGCCCAGAAACACAGACACTTTAAGCAACTTTCAAATTAGAGATGGAGATGAAATCAAGGTGTAAACAGGGAACTGAAACAAGATTCATAATAGAGTAGATGAATAATTACCCGCTTAAAAAAGCATACAGAGCGGTTTGTATGGCATATGGATAGGAGCTCTGAAGAAGAGGGCAATTCATGTGCAACTTGTAGAGCATTGTCATACTGCAATAGTGCATCCTCGTACTTCTTATCTCCAAATAGTTTATTTCCTTCCAATTTAGCATCATTGGCTTGCACTAACGCTCTCTGCTTCATAAAAAATGATAGCCTATGAGTATTCACACAAGATGTATATGTGGAGAAGCTTTCTTCTTCAAGCAAGCATATCTACCAATCAGCGAAGCCTGTACAAATGCCAACAAATTCCCAGATAGTAATGCTATGCTAAGATAGCCTCATCCATCCAAATATCGGAGGCGGCACATAAAATTGCAATCCAAATGTCAGGGAATGAAAACCAGATGGCCAAACTGAATTTGCGGGGAGTAAAGCCGAGAACCTGGTTTGTTTCTTCGTCATTTACAACATCGTCCAGGTGTTGCTTTCTATCTTGATCCGCTTCATCATCATTGTCGCTCACATCACATTCATTTGCGGTTTCAAATCCATGTGAGTCATTCTCTTCACCTCCAGATGGTGTTGATGTTGTGCCGGTGACTGAATCTATGGTCTCTGCAGGCATTGCTTTGGGTTTCTCGGAAGGGTCATTCTCTGCGGCGGTTTCTTCTTTTTTGTCTTCCGGATGCACTTCTTCGATCAAGGCCATATCTTCTACAGCGACAATGGCATGACAATCCTGCTTATTAATTAATAAGTGTTACAGTTCGTTTGGCTTCGGTTTAACCAAACCAAAAAACTGGTTAATCGGCAACCAAAATGATGAAATTGATCACCAACACCACATCAAAATCGATAACCGTTAATACTAGTTCGATTAGTCGATAAACCATTGACCAACCAATAATTAAAAATATGTAATATAATATAATTTCACCAAGATCATACCCTTTTGTCTTATTCACTCTCGTCTCGTTCAAAATCTTCAAATATTTTTTACCACAAACCTTCTTTAGTTGCCGCTATTCTTGATTCTTAGTGATGCAATCTCCGATCACTAGTTATTGAATTCAGGGGAAGATGATCAGAACTCTTCTCGGGTAATTTAGTGACTCTCCTTGGCTATGAAGGCAACAACTCAGTCAAAGTTGGCAAATGTCTATTGAGGCTGTAGATCTGGCGATGAAAGAATGAAGAAGTTAGGGGAAGTCAGGGTGCAACCGAGACTCGGGAAGGGTGTGTGCCGTGGGGGTGGGGGACAAGGCCGAACCTGAGAGGAATTAGGGTTTCCTCTTCTACCTCCATCCTCATTTGCTTTCTTTCGCCAATTTGAAAACGAGAGTAGTGAATTAATGACTGGGATATTCTTTTTGAGTTTCTAGGTCAGGTTGATGGGTTGGTGTGTGTGGGAATTGGAAATTGATGTTGAGAATGAGACTTGAGGTTGAGGGGCAAAGGAGATCGGAGTCTCTCAATGGGAAAGGAGCACAGGAGACATCGGTTGGTGTCTCCTGAGTGACTAATTTGGACTGATCGGTTAGTTACTGGTTGAACAATTTCTAATCGATTAGTAATTGGTAATTGTTAGTTAGCGTATAACTCCAAATACTTCTACTAAAGCCAACTAACCACTTTTTAAGGTATGACTTCGGGTTAACTGACTAACCGAGCTCTGACTATCACCCCTAGTTATTACTACTAGGGATGGCAACAAAACCCGAACCCACGGGTACCCACCCGACCCAACCCGGTCAACGCGGGTAAAACCCGTGCTGACGGGTTTTGGGCCGGGTTCGGGTTTAAACCCGCTACACTATTCATCGGGTCGGGTTTGGTTTGGGTTTAGGTATACCCGCCCCATGGGTACCCGCCCACACACATGTAGTTACTTTCCCGGTATATTTAATATTCTAAATAATATATCTTCCTTAAACAACTAATATTCTTTATGTTTGTGGAGACATGTCTAATTTGTTCTTTCTAATTGTTTAGAATGAAGTTGATATTATGAAGTGGAGAGTAAAGAAACTTAGTTGACGAGGAAGAAGCTTTCAATTAATCTTATTGTTTATAGATGTTTATCTTTAATTTTGAACAATTTGTATTGATCATTTGCGGGTTGCTTGTATGCTCTAGATTGGTGTTTTTTGGATGATTAGTTTGTATGAGAAAATTGATGTTAAAATTTTATTTTGAAAGAAACTTTTGTAAATTTTTTACCACAAAAACCCACGGGTACCCATGAACCCGCGGATACCCAGCGGGTTGGGTTGGGTTTGAGTTTTTCAAACCCAACGGGTTTTACCCCGGGTTTTTTTTTTGCGGATAAACCCATGGGTTTGGGTTTGACAAAACCCACCCCAACCCGACCCATTGCCATCCCTAATTACTACTTACTAGTTGTATTTGTGGTTAAGCCCTGGTCGGGGTGGTTGTTCGAGCAGGAGAAACTTGCACCCAACTACCAATCTAATTCGAATTGGTTTGGGCGGTTTGATGCATACCCCTTTGTTCAGAAAAAAGATCTGTGAGGGAAGATGTAAGACTTTAGGCAAATCTAACGTCGGAAAAAAGAAAGATCCATAGTTCATAAGGAACAATCCAACCTTAATTGACAAGATACATTTTGGAGTAAAATGGATGAGTTCTTGTAAGAACTCTGAAAGTTAAACATGCATAGTGTGGAGTAGTGCAAATTAAAGATGGGTGACCTCTTAGAAAGTCACTATGATTTGCCCAAAAGCAAAATCAAGCGAGATAGGCCCAAAGGGAACAATATTTTGGTCATAAAAGGGTTGAAATGTTACAAGTGGTATCATAGTCTCTATGTGTTCTTCCTGAACGAGGATGGGGAAAACCTCAATGAGGATGTTAAGTCCCCGAAAAGGGGTGTAATGTAACATGTTAAGCAAATCTCACATTGACAAAGCACGTAAGAGATCCATGGTTCATAAAGAACAATCCAATCTTAACTGACAATATGAGTCATTATTGAGCAGGAAAGATGACTAACCACCCGGGAAGTCACCATGATACACCAAAAAATAAAGTTATGCGAGATAGACCCAAAGCAGACAAAATCTTGGTAATAAAAAGGTTTGAATGTTATCGAAATGGGAGATTAACATGGATGGGATCGTAGTTGAGGGGAACGAAGGAAGGAAGGAATGAAGGAAGAGGAGGCAAACACCGAGGGTTCGTTTGCATGAATCATTTGGTATCAAATGACTCGTTTGCCAATGAAAAACAAGAGGAGTCATTTACAAATGAATGTCCTCCAAAATGACTCAGATTTTCCTCACTACTTTTCAAAGACTAACTCTTCTCTATTTTGTCTTCATAAATATAATACTTTTCAATTGTTTTAAAAAATACTTTTCAATTATATTTCATTAATGCATTTAAATTTTTATAATAAAATAGTCGTTATGAAAATTGGTTACGAATATATTATGTTTGGTTGTGAATTATATACTTTAGAACGGTTACTATTTGTAAAGAAAGTTAACATAAAATTATCTTTAAAAAATAAAAGATAGTATTACTATATATATGCTAATACTCCATTAATATGTGTATTTGTAAAGAAAGTTAACATAAAATTATCTTTAAAAAATAAAAGATAGTATTACTATATATATGCTAATACTCCATTAATATGTTACATGTTGGTTGCAAAATGAATTTATTTTTGTGTTTGACTTTATTTGGAAAGCCAACAAGAAAATGAAACATATTACATCTAACAGCAAAATGGTAACATTACATAACTGACTCATAGGAAAATGACTCATCTAAGAATATTTTTAAAAACAATAAGTTTATAAATATATAATTTGTCAAATATCTATTGTTTACACCTAAAATTCAATTTGGCCTAATTAATTACCACATTAATTAGTTCAAAGCATTTAATTGGCTTTAAATGAGCCAACCATATTAATTTTGCCAAGGAAGCAACGTTGTTTAGTTGAGAATAACGTCGTGAATTTCGTAGCGAGCTACATCTCGATGGGTGACATTGAAAGTTTAGTGGTGTTGTGAGTTTAACAACGTCGCGGATCTCAATGATGGCACAATATCAATAGTGTCACGAAGTCAACAATGCCGCACTACTGAGAAGCGACATTGTTTAGGCGAAAACAACATCGAGGTTGAAAATTCCTACAAACAAACAGAAAGGAAAACAAAGTATCGAGTATGAAAATTCCACGATTTCAACGACATTGTGAGTTTAACAACATTGAGGTGTTCGGAGATCCCGAGAGCTCGACAGCCATGCGAGTTCAGGGACATTGTGAATTTGACGATGCCATCAAGGGGAAACAGCGAGGTTGTTTTTATCTTAAGTAGTATGGCATAACGACATCGTAGCCGAGCCACTTGTTTTTACATGGATTTGCTAGGGGTTCGAGGGCACGTTCCAACTCGATGTGGATATGGGATTTGTTGTATCATAGTTCATGTAAGCATAGCGGTTTGTCTTTGCATGCTCGCTAAGCGCGATGGTTTAGCAAGAATAGAAACACAATTGAGAACAAGGGTGCACTCTTGTGAATTTATGGTTTGATAATGTTTAGTGATAATAGTTGCTCCAAACATGCGATGAAACGCCAATAGTATGAGCAAGTGAGCTTGTGACATGGAATAGTAACGACCATGATTAGGCTTGTCTTCTCGAGGTTCATGGTGGTGTCATTGTCTTTGCAGGTAGTGATGGCTTGAGCAATGTTGTCACTAGTCTTCGTTATGACGACACGAAATGGCTTATCGAGCCAAACCATTGTAGAGTTGTGAGGTCTACCTGGTAAAGTTTGGGGTTTGATTAGTGCCTAATTATACATATTTTGGTCTTAATTTTTTGACTATTTTGTCATTGTAATATTCGTTCATTGGAAATTTTATGCCAGATTGTGCTTCTTATGTCATATTTCAGGTCCTATCACGTGGATATGGTTTAGGAATGTTTTCGGGACATTTGGGGGGAAAACATGACCAATGAGGATCGAGAGTCGAAGTTACGACCAGAAGGACTCGAGTGACGGTCTTGAAAATGACATTCCTTCCCAAACTGTGACCTTAATTGAGTTCGAAGAGGCTTTTTCATGGTTATGGACAAGACTCAAGAGTCAGGGTCTAGCCGTGACAATCAACGTTTAGAACATGACATTTGTCTTAGATCCATGAACATTTTTGAAGGTCACGTTTGACCATTCAAAGTCATAGTCATGATCATGACATCCTACACCAAATTGTGGCCTCTGCTCTGGCAACTAAATGTCACAACGCCGTTTTTGGTCCAAAGTCATGGGCTGATGTTGCAAGTCACGATCGTGACTTAGATTGTTACATGCACACTTCAGGTATACATGGGCAATGGCAGGATTTTAACTAGGATCCGACTTCTTGCATCTAAAACAACAAGAGGGAGATCCCTAGAGACAGAAAGTGATGAGAGAAACTTCTTTGAAGCTGATTTGAGTCATCCTTCCACCATTAGATCTCAACATTTGATCCCTGGAGTGGGGATTTCTGACCAGAAGCAGATTATCATCATCACCATGATGTTTTCACACTTCTCATCGTATTCTTCTCTTTCTATATGGAGTAGACTCTCTTATCAGTTGGTTGTTGAGGAACCTTAATTGTGTATGTTAGATTGATGATTGTTTGAGAATCCAGATCGTTGAACTTGAAGTTTATATCCAATTGATGCATTTTTCATGAGTTGTCTAAATCCCAATCAAATTCTTATAATTTATGCTTAACCTAGGAGAGAGAATACATGGATTTGGTCCCTAAAAAAACTGCAAACAAAAGACGGATTTCCTTTAAATCTATGATGGATTAGATTTAGTACCCAAATCCATCATTCAAATCCACGAAGCAAATGACCCCTAAACGTACTTCGACTATATTGCATTCCTGTCATTGGTTGTGCTTGATCATTGATTTGGAGTTGTAAGTTTTAGTAAGGATTTTCTCACACGTGGGAGTTATGCGAAGTGGAGTGTACGACTAAGAAAAGTGGAGAAATTACGTTACAAATTTCACTCAATTTGTTACTTATGGGACAACAGCGCATTAGTATCGGGAGTAGTTGAAGATCAAAACGGAACCTTCCAAATCACCAGTTCACCACCGTCTGCTGATAGCTCCTCCGTCCAGTCAACCATCAATCAATCAATCATGTCTTCCACATCCAACCTCGGGTGCGCCGTCGTCGCCGTCGACGGCAGCGAGGAGAGCATGTACGCCTTGCGGTGGGCGCTCGACAACGTCCACCTCCGATCTCCTCCCGCCGACTCCAGCGAATTGCCGGGATCATTCGTCGTCGTCCACGTCCAATCGCCGCCGTCTATCGCCGCAGGCCTCAATCCAGGCGCCATACCTTTCGGCGGTCCAAGTTAGTCTCCTGCTCCTTTACTCGTTCTACTTCCCTTATCGATTGCGCCTGACCATCGCGTTTGATGGTCCTTATCTATTTTAAATTGCTCGAGTTCGAGCTCTAAGTCGGTTCCTCGAAACTGTTTGGAATTAGTCGATCTGGAGGTTCCCGCGTTCGCCGCAGCGATTGAGGCGCACCAGAAACGAATTACGCAGGCAATCTTGGATCACGCCCTGGAGATTTGTCGCCAAAAGAAGGTTTTGATTCCCACTTCATTTTTTTCAGGCTTCTAACTGCTTCGATGAGCTCTATCTCAAATTGGAACTGGAAATTTCTGTTCCAGGTTACTGTGAAATCGCAAGTGGTGATTGGAGATCCCAAAGACAAGATATGTGAAGTTGTTGAGAGTCTTAATGCGGATTTGCTTGTGATGGGCTCCCGAGACTTTGGTCCTATCAAAAGGTGCTGTACTTGAAAACTAAGCAGTTCATTATTGGTTGATGATGTTTGGTGATTGGGGATGCCATATACTGGTGTCCTTTTGAGCTCTAGATGTTGATGGGTTTCCTTGGGATAGATTCTGTTCTGTGGACGAAAAGTTGTAGAGATAATTACAGGGTCACAGGTTATGTAGAAGCTAATGTGTAAACAAGATTCTATGGTTTGGTAGAGACAGGCCTTCAAATGGTAGATTAGGGTAGATCATGTATGTAGTTATCTTAAATATGTGTTTATTTGTGAAAACATCTTAGCTTCACTAGGACTGCTGTGATCTTATCTTCACAAGAACACAAGTGATGTGCTAACATCTGGTGTTCGTCGACAGGATGTTCTTGGGGAGTGTAAGCAACTATTGTGCAAACCACGCACAATGTCCTGTCATTATAATCAAGGGAAAGGGCAAGGAGGAGGAAACTTCTTCATAGACAAATAAGGTATATACATATTTCTTGGTCGTTACTTCTAGGCCATCAGTTTAATTTCATTGTCACAATGATACTCTAGGGTAGAAATATACTCTCTGCCACTGGTTTTTTCTGTTTATTAGTTCGAATGTATGACTTTGTTTACTTTCAACAACCATTCTGGCAATTCTTACCAATGGGTTATGCTTTCCGACCCCGAGTTCTCTGTTTGAGCTGAATCACCTTGCAACTGCTTTACATTCTTGACAAAGAAGCCTTGTGAGTTGCTATTTATCAGATTAATATTTTAGCTCTACTTCGATCTGACTTTTGCTTGTTTCCCGTAATTGTGACCGACTTGTTAAAAAAGGTTGAGTTGGGTCATCAATAAGCTGGGTATCTTTTGTCAACAGGTGAAGGATTATAAGTATAGTAAATGTCATCAAACAGTGATCATTTTAGGAACTGGAGTGAGAAATCTGGACTTTCCTCGGGATGATTTATTAAGCATGACTGCCTGATAGCAAATATGTGATTGCTTGCATCTATTTTCCTTTTTGCTTAAAATACTAGAAATCGTAGGTTTTACAGACTGAAAATGCAAACTAATCTGGTAAAAATGTTTATTAGTTCATTAGTTGAGAAATGACAGCTCGTTTTAGGATTCTGCCTCTGTAAAGGCCAAGCTGCACATCCCTCTTAAAATGTGAATGCCCACCTCTCTTTATGCCATTTAGAGCGTATTTTGTTAAAATCATTGACGGCATATTCGATTTTAGATATTATACTCGGTGAAGACAATTTAAAAGATCATGTTGTTTTCAGTTCGACACATTGCCAGTCTGGCTTCTCATATGCAGCTTTATGTTCACTTGCAGTTCGTTTTTGTTATTTGCTATGGGTTCCAACTTATACGTATGAACAATGTTTCTCTCTTGCAGAATCAGAATTACTTCCAATGCAATCCGCATCTGTTTCAGTAAGACTTGTTGTTGTGCTGTCTTCTCTTGTTTTGCGTGTAAATTTGCTATGGCGTTCATTGATATAAGTTGAAGCAAAATATCAAGAAAAGAAGTACGTGTACCAGGTTTGCATCATGTCGTCAAGTGTAATCGCCACTGTAGAGTCACGGTCACAGGTTGGATTGTTAGAGACAAGTGTTTCCGACACCTCTGAAGCAGAATTCTTCGTCAGAGGTGTTTTGGGTGGGAGATGACACTTTTTATGGGACCTGTTTCTGATGAAATCTTTTGTTTCTCAACATCAATGACTGGCGGTGGCTTGAGATGTTGTAATGTTTGGTGATTTTGAAAAAGAACAAACTGTAGAATGAACTTCAGTTGCTTTGCTTGTGTGTTCTGACAGACGTGGTAGAAGTTTGCTTGACACTTTGTGAATTCTTATGGAAAATGGATACTCGAGATCCGTTCAAACTTCAATCTTCTCAATTGCAACGGTGGGAATTTTATGATGAGCTTGTTCTCATGGGACAATGTTGGGCTATCTAAGGCCCATCCATGTCTTCGATGCGTCCAGTTCCAGTAGAATAGGAGTGGGCATTCGGTCGGTTTGGTTCAAACTGAATCGAACAGATGATTATCAGTTCCTCGAAGTAGTTCATGGAGCAAATGGAATACAAACTGAAATATATCCCGGTTCGGTCAATTTTAAGACCACACTCGAAGTTTCATAGATCAACTCTCTCCCCCGTTTGGCCACTTACCCTATCTCCCCATTTACCATTACTGCACATAATAAATTCTTTCACGATCTCTCTTTCTTTCTCTGTCTCTTTCTCTCTTCAGAGCACAACGCAACGGTGATTTCTCCTTCCGTCTCTGGACTCGACGGCAATGGTGATTGACGGGGAGAATAACCTAGCGGTGAAGGCAACGGTGATTGACATCGATGATTGTGATGACTCCGACAATGAAAGTTAGAGGTTAGTAAGGCTTAATATCCAAGTATGCATGAAATTTTTTGGTTTGTTTTCTCCTTCGCCTGTGCGTCTCTCATCGATTTCGTGCTGCTTTTTTGTATTTGGTTGAAGCCTTAAAGGGAAGCGATGGCGTCGAGCAGATCTTGGTTCGGGGGCGATGCCGCGATGGCGTTGAAGCTGGCAGATCTTGAAAGAACAAGAAATCATAGAACTAGAGCGTATAAGTAGTTGCTAGAACCCTATGACCTAAATGTAGACAAGGATATAAGTATGTATATCTATCAAATATAATTTTTTAGGTAGTTGATGAGCAAGAAATCATAGAACTAGAGTGTATAATTACTAACGTGATCATCTAAATACCACATAAATCATTGTGTTCTTTCATTGCCATAGATTAGTTTACTCACCATTCTTCAATTACTAAAATGACGATTTTTCCCCCCTACATACAAACCCTGAGTGCATCCCTAAAAATCATAATGAAAAGAGAAACTTACCCACACATTGTCTCACACGAATTCTTACTGTTCCACTTCCACTAACTTATCCACAAACTTCAGTACCCCCAAAGATTTCATGATCCTAGTCAAACAAAAAACAATCAAATTATCTTATCCCATTCACACTTAGTGCCATGGTACTATTTTTATTTGGGTTAAAGGTTAAAGACTTGGGTTGGGTGGCATCCTCTCCTACTCCACTGAAATCTAAAAAGGGGAAACAGCAAACTTAATCGCATCAATTCAATACTACTGCCTCTTCATTGGGCGACCATCCAATCATGCATCTCCTCCTTAACTTCCTTTTTTTCATTGCATTGATCAAGTAGCTAGGCTACGCATGCATCCAAAGGCCGGAGTCAGGATTCTGAGACCGGGTAAGAAATTTTTAGTGTATTATTTTAAATAGGTAATAAAAAAATTGCATTTTGAAGATTTTTTTTTTTGAAATAATTAAATTAGCTCAAAATAAAATTTACTATGATATGTTCAACATTTGCATATGAATAATAAAGGTATAGCTTACATTTAAAAGATTCTCATTAAAATATAATTTTTTCTGTTAGAAAACTTAATTGATCAGGTTTTAAGTTAAATGATTAAGAATATAAATTACCTATGCTAAACAGCGGTAATAAATTGTTAAGGAAAAAACATGTTTATTTTCATGACTAAAATTGAACGTTTGACAATATTTGTCTTTGGACAAATAAAATTATCGCTTATGTGTAAAAACTATCGTTAAAATATAATTACTCCTCCGCTAGGCGATATCGATTAGGATTTACTAAAACTAATCTAGTTAATACGTAATTTTCATAACTTTCGCGCATTCATATGTGATTTTTAAAATTTTCAAGGTAACAGAGGGCGTATTAGCCATGGTGTAGTTTTTCCCATGACGCACACCGAGTTTTCATGATTGACTATTGTTGAATAAATAGCATGGTCTAATTCAATATAAAAAAACTAGTTCGTATTTCGTAAGTTGAAGAATCATTACGCTCGAACGTGTGCTCTTAATATGGAAGCTTGACGCCTGCGAGAGGTTCCACTCTTGGCGTGTTGTCTAGTGTGTTGGGCAGAGGAAGAGTCACTAGAGCACTTTTTTTTGTGTTCTCGATGGCGGTGGCCCTTTGGGAGGCTTCTAATTTCCGACAAGAGCTGGTCCGGTTGTCGACACAAAATTTTGTTGTGTTCTTTAGGCACTTCATGGAGGGGAACTCTTCAAGCCATAGGATGGTTAAGGTGGTTGGTATCTGTTGACGAGTTTTTAAGAAAATGATGTTTGAAGGAGATGCGAAGGTATTCATTAATAAGGTGAACCATGGGTCACTTCATGATACCAGAGGAGGAGACATCTATCAGGAGCTTCGTCGGCTATTTGCAGAATTCATAGAAATTAAAGTTTGGTTTATAGGAAGGCAAAACAATAAGGTAGTCCATGTAGTGGGTAAGAAGGTATTGCTTTTGTTTCCTGTTGTTGGTATTGGTTTTGATTTCCAAGCTTTGCTCTTATCAAAGTCCCGAATTAGGGTTATAGGTATAATATGCCCCTCTACTATGACATTTTATCAAACATGCCCCTTTACTATTTCTTACATCAAACATGCCCATGTAGTTTGGAAAAACTATCAAACATGCCCTTCTGTTGAAATTTCCATTGAAAAAATCGTCAATCATGGTTGAATCGGAATTCAGATGACCCAACATCGGCAAATGGGAGGGAAATTGTAAGTTTTGACCATGTTTTATTTCTCTAGGTCTCGTCAAAGTAAAATTATTAGAATTATTTGGCTATACATAAGAACCAAAAAAATTCTAAAGTAAAATTATTACAAATATTTAAGACATTTGTGTCACCCAAACCAAAGTTTGGTCGTGGTTAACGATTTTTAGATAAAAATTTTAACAAAAATGCATGTTTGATAGTTTTTCCAAAGTACAGGAGCATGTTTGATGTAAAAAAATAATAGAGGGACATATTTAATAAAACGTCATAGTAGATGGGCATATTATACCTATAACCCCCGAATTATGTATCATTTTGGTTTTGGTAATGCAAGTGGCGTTTTGCAAAAACAAAAGTAGAAACATCATTAAATTAATAAATTTAATCAAAAGTCGAAAATAAATATTTTCTGCACTTGATTAGATGATTTATAAGTCAGTCGATTAAACAAAACAACAAACATTTGGACTTTGCTACGGTGACATGAATGTCACGGTGACATGCACTTTTCGGTCGACCTCATATAGGATTAGGTCGACCTAATCTGTTGTTTTAGTGTAAAAACAGTTTCCTGGTGTCTACTTTGGAGATTCATATCTTACAATTGGCTAAATGGAAATTGGATATTAAAGACTTGTTTTGAAGCTGAAGTGTCCCTCTACACATTAAAGTACTTGGGAGCTCAATAGAAAGTTCAGAAGACCATTTTTGAACCTGACCAAAAGGCTATGCCAAAACTAGGAAACTGCCTAAAAATGGCTAAGTCTGGCAACGTGTTTGTCAAGCCTACTTTGGAGCTCAATTTGAGAAGCATGGATGCGAGTCAAGTCCAGGGATCTCTACCACA